CCTCAACGTGGCTCCCCTCGGGGCTCCCTGTTAAATAAAGACGCTGCGGTTGTTCAACCAAAGGCCTCTTTGTCTGAGGCCCTCACAGCCCACGCGTCCTCTGCCCCCGGAATGCCGGGCTCTGTCGGCCTGAAGCGCCCCTCTGTTTGCCGCTGGTGCTGGGGGAGAGCTGCGGCCGGCCCAGGGTCTGCCTGGGGTGGGGCAGCACTGGGGTGGGGAGGCTCCGGCACTCTGGGGGGCCCAAATCCACCCTCCCGCCCTGCTCCTCCGCCCCTCCCGGGACCTGTGCGCACAGCCCAGATCCCTGGTGACAGTTCCCCTGCCACCTCCTGCCCAGCCCAGCCCAGCTCTGCCCACTCCTGAGACCTTTCTACCAGGAGCCCTGCTCTGAGCTGCCTGACTTCCTGCACGCTCTTGCTCCCTCGTCCTGTCTGTCTGTCGCTCCATCTCCTTCCTGGGTTTTCCTTTTCCCTCTACCCTTTCTGGAGAAAGCAGCAAATGCCACGTGTGTTCAGTGAGCACTTGGACATTCTGGAGGATGGGGGTAACCTCTCTGGGCTGGGTCCCTCCACAGCCTCCATGACCTCATGGCAAGCTACCTCCAGGGCCAGGGGGCGGCACGGCATTAGATTTGCTTTCTCACCCCTGTGACCCCAGGGCACAGCACTGTGCCCGGCACTCACTGCAAAGCCCTGTTTGTCCAAAGACTGGAGGAGGCGGGGGCCTAGGCCAGTGCCCTCGGCCCCGGGGGCCTGCCTGTCCCCCCCCAGCCTCTCCTGCCAAATGACTCTGGCCCAAGCTGGGCTCTGGCGGCCGCTCTGAAGGAAGCTGCTCTGGGCTGAGAGCCTCTTGTCAGCCTGAAATCAGGACGAGCCCCTCAACGTGGCTCCCCTCGGGGCTCCCTGTTAAATAAAGACGCTGCGGTTGTTCAACCAAAGGCCTCTTTGTCTGAGGCCCTCACAGCCCACGCGTCCTCTGCCCCCGGAATGCCGGGCTCTGTCGGCCTGAAGCGCCCCTCTGTTTGCCGCTGGTGCTGGGGGAGAGCTGCGGCCGGCCCAGGGTCTGCCTGGGGTGGGGCAGCACTGGGGTGGGGAGGCTCCGGCACTCTGGGGGGCCCAAATCCACCCTCCCGCCCTGCTCCTCCGCCCCTCCCGGGACCTGTGCGCACAGCCCAGATCCCTGGTGACAGTTCCCCTGCCACCTCCTGCCCAGCCCAGCCCAGCTCTGCCCACTCCTGAGACCTTTCTACCAGGAGCCCTGCTCTGAGCTGCCTGACTTCCTGCACGCTCTTGCTCCCTCGTCCTGTCTGTCTGTCGCTCCATCTCCTTCCTGGGTTTTCCTTTTCCCTCTACCCTTTCTGGAGAAAGCAGCAAATGCCACGTGTGTTCAGTGAGCACTTGGACATTCTGGAGGATGGGGGTAACCTCTCTGGGCTGGGTCCCTCCACAGCCTCCATGACCTCATGGCAAGCTACCTCCAGGGCCAGGGGGCGGCACGGCATTAGATTTGCTTTCTCACCCCTGTGACCCCAGGGCACAGCACTGTGCCCGGCACTCACTGCAAAGCCCTGTTTGTCCAAAGACTGGAGGAGGCGGGGGCCTAGGCCAGTGCCTGACGAGTAGCAGCTCCTCACCGAGCGTTCATTTCCCACCCTCGCCCTCGCCCTCGCCCTCGCCCTCGCCCTCGCCTCGCCTGGGCTGACGCGCTGCTCCGTGCTCTCTTATCTGCAGTGGTCTCTCATCTCGCTGGGTGTGGGTTTGGCGTGAAGGAGGGCCCTCCTGGTGGGATGCCTGCTGCGAGATGCCACACTCGTCTCATCAGGTCAGGAACTAGACCTCACCGCCCTCCTCCTCAGTGCTATTGGGTTATCGGAAAAGCCATGACGTATTTTTTCTGTTTTTCTATGCACAATGCACATGACTTTTCCAACAACCTATGTAATTCTGTCAGTGTAACCTAAGGCCACAGGTGCTTTCTTTTGCCTATTATCATGCCTCACTGCGGCTGGGTATTGGGCTTCTCTCCACCAATACTTTATTCATTTATTCATTTTTCATTCATTACATAAATAAATATGTGTGTGTGTGTGTGTATCACACATATACATACATACATATACATTTTTCTTTTTTTTTTTTTTTTCGTAGAGGTTTTTTTCGCTATAGGGCACGTGCGCTCGCCAGACAGAGAGAGACAGAGAGACAGAAAGTGAGAAGTCACCCCCCGGGGGGGATGGTCACGCCGCAATCCCTTCTCCTCCATTCTCCTCTTGGGATCTTGGGCACGCACGCACTCGCGCCCAGCGTGAGTTTTAAGCCACCGGGTCCAGGACGCAAACCGCGGTTGGCTATGGGGGAATCCAGCAACATAGCCATTACGCCAACTGCTGGTTCCCGATATACATTTTTCTTTAAAGAGAGATTTTTGTGTGTGTGTGCTTGCCAGAAAGACAGAGACAGAAAGAGAAAAAGTGAGGAATCATCCTCCAGGGAAGATGGCCACACCACAATCCCTTCTCTTCCATTCTCTCTTGGGATTTTGGGCACACATGCATGTGAGTTTTAAGCCACCTGGTCTAGTACTTGAACCACATTGACCATGTGGGAGTCCAGTACCTTAACCACTACGCCACCTGCTGGCCCCCATTTAAATAAATATTAATTGAGGGCCGGCAGGTGCTGTGGAGGTTGAGGTGGCTGGATCCCACATGGCCAACTTCATGGTTCGAGTGCTAGATCCAACAGCCTGAAAAATACGCCAGGCATGTGTGCACCTGTGCCCCAAATCCCAGAAGAGCTTGGTGAAGAAGGGATTATGGTACGGCCATGCCTCCAGGAGGTGATTTCTCACTTTCCCTCTCTCCAATAAACTCATACACCCTATAGCAAACTGAACAAATATGTTAGGTCATCAGGAAAGTTATGGCGTATTTTTTTATGTTTTTCTATGCCAAAATGCATCATAACTTTCCCAACGACCCAATATATATAATATTATATATATTCATATGTACGGGGGGAGCGTGTGAGCTTGCTCTGTCAGAGGCTGTTCTAGGATGTGGGGGCACACAGGTCAATAGCACAGACTAAGTCCCAACCTGCATGGAGCTGACATCCCAGTGAGACCTTTCCCTCCCTCCCTGGGTGCCTGAGGGCAGGCCTCATGGCCTCTCTGAGCCTCCCTTTCCTCATCTGTCACATGCGATGGGACCGCCACCCCACGAGGACTGTCTTGTTCTCACTGACTGCACGTGGGAGGACCCACCATGCCTGGCAGACGCCACTGGATCAGGGCATTGCATCTGAGGCTGGGTCCAGTGTGGGGTGTGGGAAGCAATGGGCACGTGCCCGTTTAGGTCCCGCCTAACTGACCAGAGGTGTCTCACTGGCAGTTCCTCACACTCCCTGTGAGTGTGTGTGTGTGTGAGTGTGTGTGTGTGTGTGTGTGTGTGTACTCCTCCAGTCTCAGGTATCTTCTCTTTGTCTCTTTGTTCTCCTGGCTCCAGCCCTGGGTTCCCTTGTCCCTGTCCATCAGCCTTGGTTTGACAATGACCTCTCCTGCTGGTTTGGACCAAGGGATCTTTCCTTGTCCCTGCATTTCTCTTCTTATAAATTAAGAAGCTCGGGGAGCAGGGTTACACCGGGCCTCTCCCTGCACTCCCTAACACTTCCATGTTGGATTGGCCCAGACCAGGGTCCTATGTACCCCAACTGCAAGGTGTGGGGCACGTGCAGGCGTGCAGCACCCATCCAGATCATCGGCCCCAGCCCGCCTCTTCCCAGCAGCAGACTCACCCCTCCTGGACAAGCCCACAGCTGGCCACACACGTGTTTGACTGACATTCCCCGTAAGATACCCATTCCTCTTCTCTGCTGGTTCAAACCCTGCAAACCCCGCTCACCTAGCTAGAAACCTTCCCACACCCTTCAGTTCACACTTCCTCCAAGCTTCTCAGCTTGGCCTAGAAAAGGCCTCCCAGATCAGCCCCCAGCTCCCACGCCTCCTGTCCCTCACCCTGTGTGCCCAGGCCACGCGGACGATCACTCAGCTCCTGTAGCCACCATGCTTCATCAGCCTGCCCCAGCCTTGACCAGTCGTTATTTCTTTTATTTAGTTTTTTTGGGAGAGGTTTTTGCCATAGGGCGTGTGCGCTCGCCAGAAAGACAGACACAGAGAGACAGAAAACGAGAAATTACCCCCCAGAGGGGATGGTCACGCCACAATTCCTTCTCCTCCATTCTCCTCTCGGGATCTTGGGCACACACACATAGGCCCAGCGTGAGAGTTTAAGCCACCGGGTCTGGGTCTCGAACCGCAGTCGACTACATGGGAGTCCAGTGACATAGCTATTACGCTAACTGCTGGTCCCGACCAGTCGTTATTTCTAACCCGTCCTTTGAATTTAGCCTCAAAGAGTCCTTTCTGACATACCCTCCCCCAACCCTTTTAGGTCCTACCAAGCTCCATCGGAGCACCCGGTTGTCCGATTTGTCTTTCAGTAAGTCAGCGTGCAGTCAGGGCGCAG